CGACCGGACAAAGAGCATTTGATGGAATTCCGTTTAATAGTGATCTTGTGTCAAGAATTATCGGTGGATCGAGACCGAAATGTTTAGGACCCGATTGTTATATTAAATTAGCTATGAAATGTATGGATAAAGATTTTGATAGGCGACCTACTGTGACAGAAATTAGTGAAATAATCACAAGTTGGTTAAATGAAATTGATCAGGAAGATGTTAATGAAATCAAAAATCAATTTTTGGAAGCCAATAAAACTAAAACAGAGGTGGTCAAACAAATACATTCTCAAGATGTTTATATTAGTAAGCTATATAATACACAAAAGTTTTCCGAATATATTAATAAACCATGAGTACTATCGAAATTTCAAGTAAATTCTTAAAATTAGATTTAAATTTAAATAGTATAAAATGTGTTTATGTAACATCATTTAGGAAGGTAAAGTTATAGAATTTTTTCTCAGTTATCAAAAATTTTCACGATATTTTAATCATTATATTACAGTGATAAATATATCATCTATAAATTTTAGATTACATTTTTATCGTTTTGGAGCTTTTTTCTTGAAAGTAGTGTTGAAATCCAATGTTCTGAAAAATTTAAAAAACTTGAGATTAATGCATTTAAAAGTCATTCACAAACTGAGTACATATAATTTATAATTGTACTCTCGTAAGATATATATAGAAACATTATATTATCAAAATTGAGTTTTTTTATCAATAAGAAAATAAATTTTTTTGAGAATATAAATTATCGATTATATTTTGAAACAAAAATTTCAGATTCTTTTACTTCTTGGGAATAAGAATTTTTAAATTAATTTTATCTTCTTTTTTGAATCTCAGTCTCAAATATCCTCTGAAATATTTTATTTTACATTTACTTCAATAAAAATATAAATTTTGATTCTAAAATTGATCAAATTAACAAAGCAAATTTTCATAAGAACGCTGTTTTAACATTGTATCTAAGTTAAACAATGGAAAGCAATAATATATTTGATTCTGGAGTGGAGCAGAGAAACTTAAGACCAGATAATAGGTGAAAAAATTCGAGCTCCAAGGATTATAAAATAAATAAAAAAATAAATTCTTCGATCTCAAATGCCCAAATCAGAATTATTTCATTATATCGTATTTAAATTTAACTTTTAATTTAGTGGCATATGACGTATTTTGTATCGTGTAGAAAAGGAATTGGTATTGAAGTGACCCTTAAAGTTGTAGAAGTAGAAATTATTATAGAGTGTTATTGCGGAAGTAATATACTTTTCTTATCAGTAAGTACATAGTTTAATCCCACTCGAATCATCAAATAAATCTGTAACTTAGCTAATACTTACGAGTTTTCAAATTCATTAAAATGAATATTGAAGATACTAATTTTAATGAAGACGCTTTGCGCATGATCACAAGTGAAAATAAAAAGATTATGTAAACTGATAAGAAGCGAGAAATATATCTTGAACATAAGCATAATTAGTGGAGAAAAAAGAGAATTATGAAAACAAAAGAAGAGCAAACAATAGATATTGAATGCAAACGTAATTAATTGCAAGATAAATTAAGTAGAGAAATAAGAGAACGTTTTAACATGTGATAATAATCAGAAAGTTAGCCACAGAAAATTCAGAAGAGAGAAATATGTCTTGAATATAGGCGCAGATCTTGAAAAAAAAGTATTTTGAAATTTTAATTAATAAGAACTAATTTTATAATTAAATTGTTGTAAGCTAATAAATTTTGGTTGCATCATGAGATTCAGGACAATAAAATGTCACCTGATCACGAATATTTTCCGCCAAGATTATTCTACCTGTCCTTTTTGCAAAACTAATCATAATATAGTACGAAAGTTAGTCTCAACGCTTTTCTATTTTCATAAGGCAAACGATAAGTATAATATACTATATAATCGTTATATATTTTACTAATTTGTATAATTTGAAAATTAATACGAAGCGGCGCTCCAGATCCTATTTTCTAGTTGTAGACCAAAAGTAAATTAAAATGTCTAGTTTTTTTTGAAAATTGGCTTCCAAGTCTACCTTTAACAGTTATCAACCATACCTATAAACCTAAAAGACCAGGATTTCAAATTACAAATAACTTTCTTCTATAATATAAGCGAAATTTAATGGTTCGCGTTAGCAAAATTTAAATCTAATTTTAACTTTTTTTGAAAAATTTTTGAAAAAGAGATGTTCTGCTTCTGTTAATGTATTAGTGATGGATTAAATGATTAAAATGAAATACAATGTGAAAAATTGACAAGCCACCGAAAAATATAATTTTTTGAGGTGAATTTTTTAGATTTAGGTGTTAGGAGGTTCGTTTTAGTGTAGTTTATAATAAACAAGTGGGTTAGAGAATGGAATCGGTGAATAATTATTCGAGCATCGAAATAAACTTCATTCATTCATTGAGTTTAATTCGGTCAATCATCGAACATCGATTAAAATTGAAATTCAATTGCTTTTGATAGTGATAAATTTTTTTGATTTATTAATTAACGTTACTGCGTTAATTAAAAAATATGTGAATTTTATTTACTGCGCTTTTCAAATTACTGTGGTCAGTGATTTTCATACATCACGTCGGAAATCAGAAATCTTTGAAAAGCGAATAATATTAATTAAAGAAACTTATCTTATGTTGTTAACATTCTCGTAAAGTTCTCTTTTAACATTGAAGATATTTCGGTCTAACATTAATAAAAATACCGTAAAAATTTATTAAATCTGTCTTTTATTGAACTTTGAAAATCAAGATGATAGTAACGAATTCCGAACTTGATTTTGAAGCAGATCTTGTGATGTGGTGTCCTTCACAAAATGGCAATTTCAAAACGGGTGCGAAAATTCATTACAATTCCTGTAACAAGCATACCAAGTACCAAGTAAGCGCTTATTTTCAGACGCGAGAAATGTTATAAGTGGGAAAAGAACATTATTAATTTAAAGTACAATAATATTGCAGTGGATTTTTAAAAATAATGTGAAAAATTTTTAAATGTAAATCAAAAAATAAGCTCTATATATCGTATATTTAAAAATAAACCAAAACTGCAAGCTTTATATTACATTAAATTTTTTTTATTTTTTTTATTAATAAATATTTTAAAAAACTCTTGAGCATTCGAACATCGTCAAAATTTTTTCCGATACTCGAAAATCAATGCTTGAAATTCATCAATTCCAATCTCTAAGGTGGGTTTAGAGGGTTAAATAGACTCTAATCTAATTTCATTATTCAAAGATTGATTATTATAAATTAATTAAATTAGACAATTTCAATTGCGTGATTCATTGTGGAAATAATTAGCGATACCTAAAATTCTTCGGCATCTACTTTGGAAGATTTAAACTTGTAAAACTGTCCTGGAATTGGAAGAAAGGCTGTCTTCACAGACTTGCAACGTAAATATATTAAATAAAGTTTTGATGAAAACTTTTACAATGTGAAATTAATATTATTTTTACTATTTATAACAGCATTGAAGAATCTTCAACGTCTCAATAATCTTAATAATGTACAATTAACACCTCCATTTTACCAGTAAAACCCTCTATTTTCGATATCTAGAAATGTTGAATTTATCCAGGACACTGCTTTTGCGATAAGATGTAATGAAAATTATATTCCAATTTAAAAATACAGTTGAACTTATATTAATAAAAACCATTGGCATTAGCCAATTTAGATTGGAATAAATGGCAAAAGGTAAAAAGTGACTACTTTGTTATTTTTATTTAGTGATAATTGTATTTAAATAATCAATTTTATATTGTAGAGTTCAAGTCTTTAATTTTATTGACTTCCCAAATCGAGAGGAAGAATTGGACGATATATTACAAGTTTATCTGATAAATTTTGCTGGTTTGGGGAATTATTTTTTAAGTGATTTCAATCTTATTATACATTGTTTTATAGAATTGCCGTTGGTCAAAATGGACTTGAATGACTTATAAATGTAACTGATTCGGGAGTTATGCATCGTACATGTACTAAGAGGTTAATTTTAACCAATGAATTTTATTTTTCATTAATTATTCCGAGTTATTGAAAGTAACTATTTATTTCAGCCTTACTTTCTTATCCTTGCCTAGTTCGAAGTTGACAGACCTAAAAGGTATTTAATGTTATGAAATCTGTATGCATATTTTCATAAAATTAATCTTTATGCATCAATTTTGTTTATCTAGACGGTATTGCTTTAATAATACTATAATTACAAATATTTTACTGGCACGTGAAAATACCATTAATATCCTGACAAAAATTTTCAATCAGGCCTACGCTAGATTGCCCATCATAGTTTAAATGAATGCGTATCAAGAATGCATCATTAACCACAATCATTAAATCTACATTTGTCAATAGGAAATTAAAATATCTTGGTACACAAAGACTTTAGTAGCCTATGTATTTGTTAGCTGATATCTGATAATGAGTTCAGCTATTTATAATGTAAAATAATTTTTGTCAATGAAATGGTCTATTTATTAATATTATTATGATGTGAAATTACAGATTTACAGTATCTCGAACATTCTTTAAGGTTTGATTATTTATTTATTATTTATTTATTTATTTTTTTCAGTATAGGCATGCTTTACAAAAACAAGTACTCTTCATGCAATTATACAAATTTTAGACTTTGGAGAATTAAGAACATTAAATCTATCAAAGACAAGGGTGACTATAAATGTCTGCGTACTCTCTTCGCGGAATGTGCTTTTGCATCTACTTTGGCAGATTTAAACTTGTATGCTATCCTGGAGTTGGAAGAAAGACTGTCTTCATATACCTGCAACGTAAATATATTAAATAAATCTATAATATGAAGCCAATATTAATTTTCTATTTATAGCTGCATTACAGAATCTTCAACATCTTAATCTTGATAGTTACAGTTAACACTTCCACTCGCACCAGTAAAACCTTCTAACTTTCGATATTTGGAATGTTGGATTTATCCAGGACATGACCAAGATGTAATGAAAATTATATTCCGATTTAAAAATATGGTTGAGCTTATATTAATAGAAAGCATAGGCTTTGATCATTTTGGAATGAAATTAACGGAGAAGGTAAAAAAAGTGTACCTTGTTATATTTTTATTTAGTGATAATTATATTTAAAATTTTTAATTATAAATTTTATATTTGTATAGTTCAAATCTCTTAATTTTATTAAGGAGAGGAAGAATTGAGCGATATATTACAAAGCTTTTCATGCAAACTTACGCATCTTAGTTTAAGTAAAACGCATATAAATACATCATTGCCCACAATCCGTGAATCTACGTTTACAAATAGGAAATTAAAATATAATTGATATCGAATTTAAGTGGACATGCCGCATTTATCTTTTTTGATTAGATTTTACTCAAGTATTTTTGTCATGCCGTAGTATTTTAGCTGGTAAGAAAGCATCAAACTTCTAAATCACTTTTGTAAGAATTATGTGACACAAAATTTTAAACAATATTTGAGCGCTGTTCAATAGAAAAGGGGGAGATCTCCTTTTTAAATCTGGTCAATTTGACCAGAATCAAAAAGGAGATCTCCCCCCTTTCTACTGAATAGCCCCCATTTTTATTCTTTAGACGTTCCTTCACTTCAGCCAGTTTGTCTTAATGAAATTACCAAAAACGCTTGTGAGGATAAATATGTTTAAAAAATTCCCAAATTGAAATTAATGATTCGGTGTACAAATGCTAAACTTATATTTAATAAAGTTCTGAGGATTAATATCGATATTTAAGACTTTTATTAGCTTATTATAAATAAAATGCATAATCATATTTAAAAGTACTACTTTTGCTATTCACTACTGTGGCATGATTACGTTAAGCTTCTAACATATGATATTGGTTTTTTTTTTTACAGGGTAATTTCCAAAAATCAGCATAAGGACTAGGGCATTAAGCTATATCAATATTAGATAATCAAGTCTATAGAAAATTATCAACCGCACATTTTTCTTAATTAGTAAAATTTTTGGTTTTGTTACACTAGAATACAAATTTTCAAAATTACTTTGTTTATAAGCCAACTAATCAAAAATGTGTTTATTGATGTACCTTTTGTTGCAAAATATTTCCACTGTGTAAATCTCTATGAACGAGTTCCTGCGAATGAATCGACTCGAGATCCAAAGCTATATATTGCAAGATACCCAATTTATCTTTCCATTCCAATTGTGAGACTTGCTCAAGATTTTGCCGTAACGAACCTTCTGCTGCATAATCCATAACAATAATATAGTCGCCATAATTATTTCTTGATACTCCCCGACATCCCAAGAATGAAGGATTCTCGTATCCAATTTCACAGTGATTTTTCAATTCCTGGATAAATTCTTGCTCATTTTTGTTTGAACCACGAATCACTTTAAGCGCACCAGTTAACCATGCACTATTAATTCTATCGA